CACGAAATATTTGTGGGCGGAGGCTCACGATCACGCCCCAGGTGGCACCTGCATGCCCCACTTCAACTGGAACAAACCAGACAGTCACTGTCCCCCCAACCCGTAGAGCTATTGCGCAAGGAAAATCCCTTGCAGGCTCTCGCAGGCGAGGCTCACTCCCGCCGCGCGTAGACACGCGTGACCATCAGATCCAATAAACGAGAGAAAACATCATCACACCGTGAAGGGGGCAAAGAGACGGGGGGGGGGGTAGTGATGAAAGCATCAAGAGGAAACGTATCGATGGCATCCTTGTCACCGCCACTGACTTCAGTCCACCGCAGCACACATCTTCTGCGACCTCCGTACTCCTTTCCTCAGCTAGCTGCAGTCGTGTCCTCGAATTGGGTCTTCTCCGCTTGTTTCCCTGTCCCTCGCTGCCTGCGAGTGCAGTCCACTATTTGTTGAAACTCGCACAAAGCCGGCTGATATAAAAAAAAAAAATGGTGGAATCACGAATTAATGCAGCAACGGTATACAGAAACTGTTCATCTATTCATTCCTTCGTACGAAACGCTGGTCTGTGCCTGTCAGCAACGTTGCCGTGTTTGTGCCCTTGGCATCAGGGTGGCATAAACGGACCTCCTTTGCCGATGAGGTCAGGAGTGAGCATGTAGTGCACAATCATGCAGCAAGAGCCCACAACGATTGCTATTTAGGGCCCAGCGCTACTGTGTATCACACCGCACCACATCTCACCATCACCAACACACCCCAATATTACCACCACCCAGGTGCCACAAGCAGATAGCCAAGGATAAACCGTGTTCCAGGGAGCATTGGCATTCCAGGTGAACGATGAGTTAATGTTGGGGGTGGACGACTTGTAGAAAAACAGACAGCCTGTAGTATTTTTTATTTTCTTACTATGACACAATAAATCCATCTCTATCTACAGAAAAAAGTCTAAGATAGATTAACAACGAATCCATAGCTTCAGCGAAGGGCTATCTGTGTGTCTACGATTTCCCGAACAGCACACAGCATTTCTGTTTTTCCACACTGCGCTTCCTCGATTCCCTGCGTTGTCGACTGCTGTAGTGTCGATACGCCCTCCCTCGTCTCTGCGATCCACCCTTTCCAACAATGGAAGCGCCCACAGTACCTGCTCTCCAGATACCGTACTCACTGCCTGCTCTACAGAGGAGGCATGCAATGCAGCCGCCGCTTGGACGAACCGCTGGTTTCACCTGTCAGAGGTGCTTTCGCAGCATATGCTTACAATGTACGTACGTAGTACCACCTCCGCGGCGGGCTCGCTCTCTTCGTCCTGCTCGCTTCTCTCCTCAGCCTGCGTATCCCCACTCAACCCGCCAGGTGCCTGCTCCCTTCCTTAGCCGCGGTCTCACCGAACCTAAATGCATACGGAGGTCTGGGGTACCGTTCCACTTCCTTGCCACGTGTCTTGTGAACAGACCAGACGACCAGACCTCCGTCGCTGGCGGGCTGGACTGTCGAAAAAGTTGTACGCCTGCTGGCGGAAAAAGGGGACAGAAACACGGCTTCCCCGCGGAAAATATTTTTTTCGTATTTTTTTCGAGACGAAAAATGCTTGTCTACATGTAATGAGCCTACAGTACAGCAACACTGGATGAGTTGATACAAGGAGAGAAGGAGAGAAGAGAAGAGGTTCCCATCAGATCGATGTGGTTTTTAGAGGGTGTTCGTGGGGGGAAGGCATCACGTGGTACATGTACGTACATGTGCAGTAGATTTTTCTGCCTCTCTGAAGTGTACTTCGATGTACTGTCATAACCTCAAGTTTTGGCCGAGGCGCGGTTCTCCACGCACGGCGGGGTAGCAGTTGCTAGGAATAGGCCGCTGCATATTCTGTAGTCTACATCATACGTAGCTTTAGTGTGGTTCTTAACCAGGCTCACACATGTTGTAACAAGTTATTATGTTTCGATATGATGCTGAGCATGAAGTTCCATTCTGCCGAGAGTCTCAAGTGCGGGCACGACATACTGCTGCATCAACATTGAAACTGCACTACAGCGCGTACCTGACAGCAGTCCCTTTTTTTGTTTGATTGGACGGACGACGCCAAGACCGAGACCGTTCCAGACGTGCTCGAGCCCAGCTCGAGTCCAGCTGTGACTTGCAATACATCAGAAAGTGGGAGCAGGGTGCAGATCATCTGCTGGACGGCTGACGAAGGCATGCAAATCAACCCACACTAATTTATGCACATGTAGCACCTAGCCAGCTGTTTCGTGCCCCTTTACAGACAGTAAATAAATCACAGACCAAAATAATTTGTGAAATATCCCCGGTGATTGGTAGACTTTACACTGGCAACGGAGCCCCCAATGCCTCACGTGGGTCTCGGATTGGCATGCCATGGGTACGATGAATGATTGCGTCAGATGTTCGTGCGATAGCTTCCATAGCGATGGTTGCCCGACGTGCAGCAACCAACAAACACAAAGCATGCGGCCTGCGGCCGCGGCTCAACTCCCTAGACTAAAGCGCTGGCACTACTATACTGCTGTCCGTTTGAATTCCTATTAAACTTCTGGTTCTCTCACCTTGTTTCTCTTGGCCTCTCAAGTGTTAAAGAATGAAAGGAAGCTGCACTCACAGCAGGACAGAGTCAACCGACTGGTTCCTCCTCGTACCACGGCCTTCCTCGTCATCGCCACTACCAGCGACCCGCTCCTGTCTCGCCGATACCAAACGGGAAGAGGGGGATACGCGGACAGCCCTCCTTGGGAGGGACCCCTATTCAGCTTACTGCTCGTGTGGTGTGGACCCCATGCGGCGGCGTTTTGGAGCAGGCTCAAGGAGCGAAGTCATGTTCGTTTCTGCTTGGTACATAGATTTCCTCCATGGAAATACTGCACATCGTTTGCCCACCATCACCGACCGGTGCAAGAGTCGAGTGAGCACCAACCGCGGGGGAAGGGGGTTTGTTCGGGCTGTAGCCGCATTGCGTCGAGTAATGATATGTTTGCTCCCAAAATATTAATGACTTGCTTGTTTATTGCACGCTTTGGCTTGTATTTTCTGCCGAACCAACGATGAGGCACAACAAGAAGAGCGCAATGTGAACCTGTATGAGTCGTCTATTAGTCCGGGTCTGTCCCTCTGCCACCTGTCCGTAGAAAAATTGGCCACTTGGAGTGAGAGATAGGAGGAGTGAAAACAAGTCGGCAGGTGTTGTTTCGAAAACGGCTAATAATGTGCGCCTCATTCCTATTCCGAGCAGATGCGTCTTGACCTAGCCCCTTTAACGGCGGACTTGTACAGTAGATTAATTTGGCAGCAACTGGCTAATCGTGAGTGAAGATCGTTTCGTAGACTCTGCATAGAAGGGGCACGCGCTCGTGATTTCGTCGGTCTGAACTTGTTCAGCAAACCATTTGGTGCAAACGGAGTGAAGGAGGGCCGAGAGCGCACTCGGTGCAGAAAGTTCCGGCAAGCAGAAACATGTTCAGCACGATAAACTGCATACGATGAACGCCCAGCCCAGGTAGTCCAGCAGTATGGCACAACTACCTCGATGTTGATGGACGATACGTATCTACCTCGCTCAACCAAACGGGTTTTACAATCGAATTTCACATGCCACGCGTTAACCAAGCAGGTACAGTAGGCGTTGGTGATAGGGCTCCATACACATGTGCGTGCCAGGATCGGCTTTCTATCTGTGGACATTCCACGCTTGGAAACTGTGCAGCACACGCACGCATGGCATTTCACATGTGTTAACGTGTGTTTGGTTGATTGTCCTGAGAAGCGATGGTTGTTGCGCCGGGCTGGTTGCGCATGCGTTGGAAGTGTGAAAATCCAGTCTCCGCGTCCAATCATAATCGATTTTGCATTTCAAATGCCTGCAATAGCTGGGACATGTTTGTGGGCGTGACGCCCCCGATTGACTTCATTAGCGAACCGTCGCCACACTCGCTGCACCATCTGAAAGGATGTACAACAAGTGATACAATACCAAGTCATCAAGGAACACCTCCTCCCCACTGTTACATGGCATAACGGGACTACCGTAGACCCTTCCCACAACTCCCCACCGCCTATCGTACGGCGAACAAACCATGCTACCATAACGTTTAGAGTCTACATTTTTTTTAGGGTCGCTCTACAGGTCGCCTCCTGAACGAACCTGGTATCAGGACGAGTGTCCGTAATGCCATCCATGCCTTTCTCGACACTAGCCTCCTTTGGTCCACCGAAGCACACCACGCTGAACTTCAATTTCGCTCCGAGCACACTAAGCTTACTCCGAGCAAAATAGGTACGGGGAGAGGGGGAAACACTACAACGGTTGGCGCACTCAAGAACACAACTCGCGCGACGCAGTTTTTTCCGGTTGCTAAATTTGCCACCGCTAAAAACTGCAAAACGTTGCAAGCACAACCGCAATGACCTCTTCCAAACAAAACGTGACATTTTAATGAGCGAAATAGTTTCCATTCCGTGGCCATGGTAACAACGCGCAAGCGGCCTACCACGCTCGCGACGCAAACCAGACAGTGAGCCTCTTACACTCACCGCGAGTCACTACACACAGACATTGATAAGTACCCCGTATATATACGCACGGTGAACTCCGCCCTCCCCCACGGCCCCCCAACGTGAATTAGGCCAGAAATATTGTCGTTGGCGCCTGCCAACAGCTAATAGCATGCAAGTCACAGCCAAAACCAAGACGACCGGTGCTTGCTCGTTGTTGGACAAGTGATGACAGGAAGACAGAAGCAACACTTGGTGGCGGACCTGACTGACATCACCCGCGGTGTTCTTCTTTCACTGCAATTGGTGGCGCAATAATAACGATACTAACGGCATGTACATTGAGCAAAAAAAAATGAATGGGAAGAGAATTACCATCCCAAAACAAACGACGATGGGCGATCTTCACCCCACGTACCACCCCAGACAAGCGAGCCCTCCAGCCTATCCTCGAATGATTTCTCCGCCGAGTGGAGGGAGTGCGTATTAGTTCAGAAGCCCTTGTCCTTGTATGTGTTGTCGTCGACTGTTGGTGTTGTTGCTGTCGTTGTTCGGCTCCCCGACCTGGTGACTATCGGGGAACGTGTCGTCATCGAGAAAAACAACCCAAGCAAGAACAAGACGAACCATAGTCCAGAAAAGGCTGGGGCACTCGAAAGCCGGTGAAGAAGATCAAGGCCGCCTATACGTCGGAATATCTTCTTCACCGACTTTGGGTTCTCCAGCTTCTTCTTGACCCAGTCCCCCTTTTTCTTGTTCTGGTTTTCTCGATGACGATGCGTTCCCCTGCGGTTACTACCACCTGGGGAAGTAGCAATGCCGCAGACCAAAGAGGGCAAAGTTATAAAAATAAGCGTTGCTTCAAATGAATAAGGTGTTTCTTGGGGACAAAATCTGACCAATCAATAGACAAAAAAGAAACGCATTGAGGAAACAGAACAGCATATGCGAAATGTTATCATGTGCCGAACGTAAACCTAGATCCCCCTATGGTCTCGCCCATCGCCCCTCACACCAGACTTCTTGAATGTTACTTCTGCCGCTTGGAACTCACTCACCACATGCCCGGCGTTGGGGATCTCGAGGATGACGTCGTCCCCCCAATACCTCGCCGGTGAGCTGGAGGTGGTGTTGTAGATGCCGCAGCTCGCCCTTGCAGCTGCTGGTGTCGTCGCCACCGCTGGGCGTGAAGATGGTGGTGTCCTGCCCGGTGTGAGTGGTCGTTTGCGCCTTCATGCCATCGGATTGGTCCGGTCCGGCTCGCTCCTCACTTATTGAATGGTTCAGGCGGACGAGGAGCTGAGCGTCAACCTCGGCGGGTGGCACGTGATGACCCTGGGAATCGACGGCAACCCTGCTGCACATTTCCACGAGACGACATGATCGAGGGCGTCGACAAGGGTACAAAATCTCTGTGAACGATGTACTCGAGCAGGAGCAAAGGCGGGTGTGCCTGGTGCTGGATCCTGACGTTGTTGTGGATGGGGTGCCGTCAAGGGTACGAACGTCTGTGAACATAGGTGCGTACTCGGGGGGGTGCGAAGCCGGGCAACACCTGTTACCTCGAGATTTTCCGGGCGCATCGTGGGAATGCTGAACATCGTTCGACGCGATTTCCCGCACGTGGGAAGTGAACGCGAAGAGAGGGCATCTTGGATATGGCAGACACGTTCTTGCCCACCTCGATCGTCTGCGTTTTGGGAAATAGAGTCGTGAGCAACAGGAGAGGGGGTGGGTGTAGTGGCAAAGAGAAAGGGACACAGCTTGGTGCCGCGATGGCGCTGTTGTGGTTGTTGCTGTTGTCTTGGCGTTTCAAATATTGTTGACTTCCCGATCCTGTGCATCGAGGAATGACCATCCCAGGTGTATTATGACAGTATTGTCCAATCCTGGTATGAGGCGGTCGAAAAAGATGCCCGTTAATACAAAACACTCGATTTAATTGTTGCGGTGGACATGACCTAGAGCAACTTGGATCATTCAACCTGTCTCTAACGAAAACCACGCGTGCGTTCAACACATGGGCCACGATGACGTAGTCGCGGACAACGACGGTGCCGTGCACAGGGCTCCAAGTGGCTTGAAGTTGGTCGCACGAGTACTGGACCGAGGCAGGGAGGAGCAACATCCCGGCCTCTGTGCGGTACTCGTGCGAGCAATTCCAAGCCAACCGGAATCCCGTGTACGGCATCGTACTTGTCCGCGGTCACGTCGGCCGCCTGAAGACGCGAGTGAGCACCCCTTGTCGGGTTGTTTTGGTCTGCAAGCCAGCTCGTGAGCAGTGGTGTCATCTCTCTCCTGTGTGCCTTCTCATTATGCACCCGACGCGCTTGGCGAACGAACGAAATCGGAATAAAATATGAAATGCATGCGGGTACCACAAAATATGAGAGGGCATGCGGGTACCACAGCCGTTGGCTATATCCTCGCACGATCATTTGTTCGCGAAATGAGCGTTGCTCGATGAAATGACGAGGACGCACCATGTACCAGCATCGGTTTTCCCGCTGTGGACATGCTGCTCTTGGGAATCGTCGTGCACTAAACGCATGATATCACACCGGTTACGTTTGTTGTTCATTTTCAGGCATATCGCGTGCTGTGCTGTGAAACAAATGGCCGGCTGCTGCGCATGGTTGTTTGCGTGCCTGCAGGAAGCGAAAGCCCTGTCTCTCCCTACCTCGGTGTCCAATTCGACGAAATCTTGCTTCGCTTAATACCCGGGATGTTGTGCCTGTGGGTCATGACTCTCCATGTTGATTTCGTTGGACCGATCGAAACGATCGTCGCCTAAACCCGTTGCATCATTCGGCATCGTGACCACCGTAGAGCAAAACCATTCGCCATCTGGCATATGCATGATCCCAAAATCAAAAGTGCAGCACAGCATCGAGCTCCCCCCGCTGTGCCATGACTTTGCGGGACACTGTGCGCAAGTGGGTCTTCTGTATCCCAACCCATACTACTAACGCCGTCTTGTATTTTGTGGCTGCATGCGACATGCTTGAAGGACGCACCAAGTCCCTCCTCCTCACCAAAGCTGGTAGCAGAACGAGAGTCCCCAGCGACAAACAGTCATTTCTCCGTTTGGTCCGCTGGAGCACATCACGTTGAAACCACTCTCCCTACTCATCGAGCGCGCCATAATACGTTTGTGACCGCAGTACCTCTAGTCGCTGATTAAGGCACCGCAAAGCACCACACCATGTACTGCTGCTGTATTGAGAGCACACACCGAGCGATCTGTACCATTCCGCGGAAATGAGAACGACGCCCAAGCGCCAACCAACGATCAAGAACAAAAAACACGCAACAAGCACACACCATTTCTCAGAACGCACCGCCCCCCCCCCTACGCCCACTAGGGAAGACATTTTGAGTGCACCAGTATGTGCCAACAGCCGACCAAGCCAACATCAAAGGCCACAACGACCGCTGCTCGCTCGCTGTGGACATGCGATTACAGAAGAATCGACACAGAACCGGTGGCGGAAGTCAGCAACAACGCGTGATGCCCATCGGTTTTGGTGGCACGCGTATACCGATGCTCATTGTCCATGGTATCGACATTATACAGGGTGCCCGATGTGCCGCTTTAGTTATTGGCGTCACCCCCGGAACGGGGCATCATGTGTGCATGGGGCAAAGAGATACTGCATACGTAATTCAACACAACTCTCCCATGGCAAGTTCCGAGCTGAATCGCCAATATCCTATTGAACACAACTCTCCACGACAAGCTCACCCCCATTCCGATCATCCCAACACGTGAGCGGGAGGGATCGGCAGATCGGATATGAGAGGCCAAAGCCTGTCGGCGTGGAGAAAAGGGAGCTCGTTCAAGGCCGGCCGACAACGGAAAGAGCCTTGCGCATTTTGTTGTGTGCTGTCAGTCACGGATGAGGTGTCGCGGAGGGGACAAATCTCTGTGAACGATACCGTGTGGTTGCGAGTCAGCGCACAGGGGTGCGATCGATTTTCAAAGCATAATTTCTCCACAGCCAGAAGGGTGCGAGCGCCAACTGATACTTCTCAGGAAAGCTCTCGATGAGATATCTCACTAACCACCCTTTTCGACAGTGGTAACCTCCTGGTTATGGAGAAAATACGCTTTGAAAATCGCTCGCACCCCTTTGCGCTGACTCGCAACCTTACGGTACTCGGGCGGGTGCGAAGGCGGGAATACGCCATGCTGTATCCGGAATGTACGTGTTACAACACCTCAACTGTGACTGGCCGCACACACTGTTGTACTCCTATTCCATCCCGGCCCGCCTTGCACGAGCTTAATTTTCTCCATTCCGACAAGCTGTGGCCTATCCGATCTACCGGTCACAACTACCAGCGCAAACATGAGCGGACCACCAACCTGTCTTCTTGAGGCTGTTCCCCGCACCGCAGGGGAGGCATCCCGGTGTGTTGCTCGGAGATCGTAGAATCAGGTTGTATGTACAGCAGGTCGTGCGACACTACATATGAGCGCATTACAAATTGATCCTGGACTCTTCCATTATCTTTGGATAAAAAACGTGCGTTCTGTTTATTGCCGTAGACTACACACGAAAATCACGCAAGACTTTTGTATGCCCGCTCGAGACAATATAACCATAGTCGAAAGGGAGATGCTGAAGTAAAGTAAAGTCGAAATCATGGAACTCGAGGGGGACGTCCCAGTGGACCGCAGCTCGCATGACGGCGGCTCTGCAGGGCCATATGCGAGAAGGCCGTTTGGACGAGCACCACGGCTTGAATACTATGTACTCCTTTAGGGTGGGAGGAGCCATTAGCCAGTCCCTCGCGGGGACGGCCGTAGAAGCTCTTACGGAGTTAGTGGGGTGGAAGACGAAAGTAGCCCAGCGATACGTAGGCTCCATGATACACGGGCGGGGGTCCTCCGCTAAGCGTCCGCGAGATCCGGACCGGAGGGAGCAGGAGCAGCGGTAAATCCAAGCGGTGGGTTTTTCACTGCAAGAAGGCTTCGCGGAGACGTTTGCGTTCGGGATATAGACTAATGGCTATCGACACTCGGCTTACTATTAATAGCATTTAAGGAAGTTTGGGATTAAATATCAGACATCAGGCACCGACAAGGCATGAATAGCCGAAAGGTGAAATATAGACACGGCATGAATAGCCGAAAGGTGAAGTATGGGTGGAGTCTCCGGGCTTTTCGTAGCCGGAGGCCTCATTTCGTCCCAAACTCTACATCGTCGACAACTATCCCGCAGTAAAATAATGTCGAAATCATGCAACCGCGAAGGGGTTCCGCAGATGAGAACAGATTGCCTCCAGAGAAGCTTGGAGCGAGCACCCACTCGTGACAAAAGCCTTCCCAACCCTAACGGAGGGAGAGTACGGTAGGACGAACAGCAGTCCCCGCCCACCCGACTGTACTCGGTATTTGATTCGACTGGGGTCAGTATTCTGAGCGACTGCCGCGTTGACGACACGGAGGGCGTCAACGCGGGGGTATTGTAGTAACCCTGGGTGGAGTCTCCGGGCTTTTCGTAGCCGGAGGCCTCATTTCATCCCAGACTCTACATCGTTGACAACTATCCCGCAGTATTTTCAGTGGGTGGAGTTGTTTATTGCCATTACACGCAAATCACGGAAAGCAGTAAGTGTGGCACCCGCTCGAGACACACCAGAAGTCTAGACAGGTAAAACCAACGGAACGTGTTGAAACATGCATGCACATGGGTGTACCTACCCAGTCGAACGGACACCGTGAAGTCTGACGGGGGTCAGTATTTTTCTCATGCAATCACACCGCAGGAGGGGTGATTAGGGGGTCTCAGAGAGAAGAAACCTCCTTTATGACCACGGGTTGGAGTAAACGACACAAATGTTGTGAGCGCTGATTTGAAGTGACGACAAACATAAACAGTAAGATAAGCTCCCCATGTCTCGCGCCCCCCCCCCGTGGCTTCGGCTGTAGAAGTCCATCTGAAACCATTTACATGTAGACTACAGCAGTAGTTCGTCGACAATGGGCGGCACATGCTACAATGCATATCATACCTCGTTGCTCTTGGAGAAGGAAGCCTGCACGCCGGTGTTGAAGCTGGGTCCCCTGCGGACTTAAAACAAATAGGTGTGCTGTAGACCTGTAGACTGAGACATGCGAGCCCTTGGCCACCTCGATCGCCTGCTGGGGTGTTTTTTTGCAGCACCCGTTGCCCCGCGCAAGGCGCAGGGCGCCCAACGAACAGATTGGGTGAAAATTGGGCGTGGTGTGTGCAGCCTCTGGGCGTGTTGCTATGGACCCCGGCGGTTGTCGACAAGCCGACCTAAGGTATCTATACGGAGAGCCTCTGGGCGTGTTGCTATGGACCCCGGCGGTTGTCGACAAGCCGACCTAAGGTATCTATACGGAGACCCGGCTTCTGGCGGGCTTGGTGTTTCGTGTGCAACCATATCACAGATCATATCATGCATGCAAGATACCCGTTTGAGGGGCCCCGCTCCTCTCCAACCTTTGGAGAATGAATGAAGGGGTGCGCCATATTGCGCTCTGCGAACCCCCGTGCTGAACTGAAAAAACACGCTGCGCCAACCACGTTAGAAGCCACGCTGCTGTCGGCTGCGGAGCCGACAGCTCGAGAGATGATGGGCCTACTGCCCCTTTGGGTCCTGTTGACGTGGATGGTGTTCCCCCTCTTGGCGCTCGCTGCGGAGACGGCCTCGATCGGAAAGCTCCGCCCGTGGCCGGCTGAGACGGTTGCAGCCGGATGCGACGGAGGCTCACCGTGCGCGTGGGACAGGTGAGATGCTGGTGCTACTGCTACCCAAGTGGTACCATGTTTCAGATCAAATAGTGCTCAATGATAACACTGGCCATGCCGGCCCGTCGCTGGAATCCAACATGTAGTGGCTACAGCTGTGGTGGGTGGTAACGTCGTGTGTGCAAGCTACGGTCTCGGGAACAACGTGTGTTAGTTCGCCAATTCTTTGAACCAACACAGCCGAGAGGACGGACGGAGAGGTTGCCGCTCTTGGCGACACACGTCGGCTCGGACCCAAAACGACGGAAGCAGCTCACATGCCGTTTCACCTTTCCAACGCAAAAAATCATGCGACACTCGCTTCCTCTGCATCCCCTTGCCCTCTCTCGCGTCTCTCCTCACACACGACGTGTCCGCACTCCGCAATATGATAGATAGCGATCCTGCTTTCCCCGAAATCTGGCGGCCTGGCTCTCTCCGTCCTCTGTAAAGATAACCCGCCGGTTCGCACCTTCGCCCAACGTGCATATGTGTTTGGTTGGGCTGTTCGAGACTCCAGTTCTTGACGGAGATGGTTTTACGATTTCCTACCCATCCTGTCGCAAACAGGTACACCTCGCACTCGCTCTTTTTACATGGCAATTGCGGCGGTATTGACTCGATTTTCTTTCCCACAGGACGAAACCACCCACCCCCCTTGCCTCCGCGTCGAATTTAACCGCAGGCGTTGGAACTCCACAGCAAGGATAGCGTCCTTGTTCCGACCAGACATTGCTTAGATTAGGGCCTAAGCTTTTCGCCGCGGTGTCCCGGTGTGCGCGCAACCTTTGAGTTTGATTGTGGTTATCGTGCGCTTACGTAGCCTGGCCCGCGTACCGCATGGGCCAAAGATACGAGGCTGATCGTGCGTTATCCTCCGTCGTCATGATCCGTGCATGCGTCGTGCCCGCGGGATGGATGGCGTCGCTCCCCGCTGAAGTGTAGCCTTAACGCCAGTACACCTTAGGCTGTATTCTCTTGCTGGCCTTTATTCCTCACACAAGACGTCCCCTTAGCTACCTTCCTAGCGCCTGAGGACCAGCAGAATGCCTTAATGATACCGCATCAAACCCATTCTATGGCGTCGCTCTGCCGTACAGAAGTGGCCCGGAGGTAAAGAAAACGTCAAATCGGGCTAATTAATAGAGGTTCAGTTTCTTGCTCCCTCTCCAGTCCACTGTCAAAGTACAGGTTATTATAGAGAGTTTAGTGTAAGGATCCACCGCTGAGGTGCGTTTCTTACCCCAATTTTCTTAATTTTCGTGAAAAAGCTGAGCCTCTGTTTCTTAGCGAAATTGTCTGCTTCTTAACCGCGGGCCCGTACTGCTGTACGAAGAACACCTACCTATCCATACTGTACCGAAAACACCTACATATCCTCCCAACAGAGCCAGTACGCGGAGCATGTTGGCATCGACTTGCTTCGCTTGGTAGTGCCCCCGCTTGGTGTCCTTGCCATCAGTTTGATGTAGGCTATTGTAGACAGATGCCCTGTCTTGCTGTGTGCTCCTCGTCCTCCGCCTCAGTGTCCTTGTCGGTCTCTGTGGGCGCATGGATGTCTCTCTGCTGCTGTTGCCTCTCCACCCACTCCCTTCTTGGCTCCCCTCCCCCTGCACGTACAACGTATACCTGGATATTTTGTTGTTGCTTGCCTGGCTCTTCCAGGCCTGCTTGGCGAGACGGACGGCCAGTTCCTGGTCGAATCTTGTTCGTGTCAGTGGGTTTTTACGGCCACGCGATGCCCCTGCTGTCCTTGGCGGAAGAGATGGCGGCAAGGTACGCACGGCAAACGCAACAGCGTGGTAGTAGTGACAGTAGTAGCAGCACCAGCGCCAACGGTATGGTAGATATGGGGTGCCGCCGGCCAGTGTGGCTATTCGTTGCTCTCGGACTGCTACCGGCTGAGAGAATCCTGAACTTCTTTTTCACGACAAGGATTAATCAAAAGATTGATTGTTAAAAAATCGATTTGTCCGCTATTAATAGTATGTCGATACGAGGAGCAGCAACAAGAACAAGTAAACGCGCTACAGCGACGGGCATTTCCGGAAATACGCCGTGCACAGCTGCCGCTTGAAAGCAGAGCGAAATGAAATCTGTTGAAGGCCAAGTTCTTTTTATGGTAAAGGGAACGTTGTAGAAAAATCCGCATCGAACCCAAACCTTTGCCGGGGTCCTTCCTATATATATATATTTATTTTTTTTATGACCCTGTTTACGGCCTTTGTTTATATTCGAATCGAAACAAGCATCAATTTAATAGTTTGTTCGATTGCATGAAAACACATGTTGTAAACACTGTGTTGTGTTTTCTTTTCGTGTCTGTGCTGATCCAGGGGGCACAACGTCACCTTCGCCACCCACAACTGTCTTCGACCGATGGTGGACGAAACCCCCGGGGTGGCATTTCTCTCAGCGGGGCGCATGCCCATGCACGACCACCACCTGAGATCCAAGGTACGAGCGAGCCGGCATTTGGTTTGTCGCTACTGGCATCGCAGCCTTTTCTTGCGCGCCTTTCTTTTTGACGCCAGAGTCCGCGGGGGGATACGCAGTGTGGTTGCTGCTGCAGCGCGTCGAGCAAGTTTTATGGCGAATCTGCATACATCTGCAGCTCGCGGGCGACCCGCGTGCAGGACACCTAGCAAGGATGGAGGATCGCACACATGTAGGGCTCGGGCTGAAGATGCACACGTTGTAGTGGGGATCAAGCGCTATTCGATGGCCGTCTCGGTTGCAGGCCCCTTTAGAGCCTTCGAGCTGGTTGGATGGCCTTGCTGCGCGCCCGTTTGTACTCAGGCATTGTTGCAAACGCTCGGGTCCCCGTCCTTCTAGGTTGGCTGTCTCACAATGTCTTATTTTTTAGCAAGCTCTCACCGCTAGATATGTTGGCTTGCGCGCGAAGACGGAAAAGAAGGCGCTACAGCAGAATCATGTTAAAAATATGGCGGACTGCTCGTGTCTCCGTCTGCAAACCAATTCCGCCACCGCCTGCAGGACCAACATTTTACAATTATTCGCCTCGGCCGCCAAAGAGTATCGGGCTGCTGTACAGTAGAGCTTTCTCGCGTTGGTGTCTTACACGACGTTCCTTTTCGGTAAACATGACACCTTCTCTTGGTTCCGAGTTGATACCCCTCTCCTCACGTTCTAGTGGAGACCAGGTTCTACATAACGGCTCTCTCCCTTCGCCCTTGTCCCCGTTTCTTTCACCGGCCTCGGGGGTCTTTTGCGTGTGTTTTACCGCATTTGGGGGGTCACGAACGGACTCTCGAACCAACCACCTCGCTCGGCGGACGGGCCGATGCATGGACGGACGGAAATGAATCCATCTCGACGACGCCTGGACAACCATCCCGTCGTGTGTTCGATCGGTTGTGGCTCGGAAATCGGGAATCGGACCCCGAAAAAAAACCGGACGAACAAACGAAAAATGCAAAAAACAAAAGTTACGGTCCTTGTCGCAGAACGGGGGGTTCTGGGGCTTGCTCACCCTGCTCAACGACGTCTACCTGCCGCTGGCGCGTCCGATGTACCGGGCGCTCCTGTCCGCCGTGCAGCTGCCGCCGTCGCCGCCTACGGCCTCCCCTCTGTCGCCGCCCGCTTCGGCGGCGGCTTCGGCTAGAAACGCGGGCGTGGCGGCGGGGGCTCCCCCCGGCGGTACGCAAAAGAAGCGTGGAGATGAAGTTCCCGGGACGAGTTACCCCGGACAACCGCCACCAAGCGGTGGCAGCAGCAGCAGCAGCAGCAGCAGCAGCGACTGCGGTGGCGGTGGCGGTAGCGGCAGCGGTGAGAGCTGCTGTTGCGGGAGAGAAGGCGCTTCTACGGAGCGGGGCGACGAGTACCTTTCCGGCAGCGAAGGAGCAGCGGGAGCATCATCGTTGGGTGCGAGCGGTGTAGCCGATGAAGCGGGAGAGGAGGGAGACCAGCAGAGCTGCTGCGGTGGCAGCGGTGGCGGTGCACATGGCTGTGGTGGCCGTCTAGACGACGACGCCGGAGGAGCGGCCGCCTGCTGCGTTCGGGACGGGGCTGCGTCGTGGGCTCGGCCGTTCGATTTGGTGGTGCTGGACATGGGCTCCCTGGGTGGGCTGGACTTTGCCCAGAAGCTGGTGAGTGAGATGATGTCTAACCCCTGTGGCATGAAAAGAAACCCTGCAAATGTTTTCGCTGTTGCCGTTATATCTCGGGTTAGGTTTCGTTTAGCTCCGAGTCCGATGATGGCCATGGGCCATCTACTGGCAGGTCAGGCAGGGCGGGCGGCCAGCACAGTAGGTTTCCTTGGCGCAGAGTTAATATCTTCATGGTGAATTGTTATACGGTGAATGGGGCGGGTTCCGTCTCTTATGCGCGTGAATCGGCCGGGCGTATGTACCTGCCCTATAGGTCGTCCACGACTGCAATGAATCCAGTATCGTTGGGGAAGCTGACAAGCTGAGATAGATGCTACGGAAAGTTCTTTTTTCGCACCAAGATGCTGTAGGAGAAGGGAGAAACGATGTCTGAGGGGTGGATCTGAATGCCTGGGTGACTCGGCGGCTTGGTAGCATCGAAACCACCGTGTACGTCCTTGGCGCTGCTGCTGCTGCGGCTGCGGCTGCTGTCACTAAGGTTGTAAGCAATCGACGCATTGATTTATGACACCCGTGTCGTGTGAATACACGGTGACGTGGGCTTGCTCGCAAGACTTGTGTGTCCATTGATGGTACAAAAAAAACGGTGATCACGATCAACGCTCGCAGTATCAACAGACGAGTTGCTGCCCTCCAAGGACGTTTTGTTGATCCCCAGCGGTGCCCAATCGCGGATTGCTAGGCATCAGCAGAGGTCACTTATCCCCTCCTCACTCTGCCTTACCCCTCGCGACGTTTCACCGTCACCGTCTTGGACGACCACGCCGCCACCGCCAGGGCATCCCGTACATGTTCAACTCGCCGAGCCTGCTCTTCGACCTCTCCGGTAGACACGTGACAGCGACGCTTCCCGCGTGGGGCACGGGCATGGCGAGACGCATGAGCCTCGGGGATCGGCTGCAGAACGCCATCTCGCCCAGGGCGCTCTCGGTGTTCCTCACGCCGGCGTTCATCGCCATGAACAAGGTGTGTGTGTGTGTGTGCCGTACGCAAGGTGTGTAGCAGTATGTGCGCCCGGGGGGGGGGGGGGGTTCCACCGTGATGCCAGTGATCGTCGTGCAAGGTAAAGGCCCATCATGATGAAAGCCATGCTGTAGGTTTTCGGTGTCGGTTTTGGCCCGATAGGTGATGGGTACCGTGTACCAACGGGGGTACCGTGTGTTGACGGGGGCATCGTGAGATCCCATGCTGAGGAGCAGGAGGACTGGTTGGTCGTGTGCGGAACGAGGCTTGTCTCACGTCAGTGTGAAGAGCGCAGCCAACGGCGAGGAAGGACTGTACGGTCTGACGAAGGCAGACATCGAGAAACTCATTGATGAAAGTGTTTTTTTGTCACTGCTGCTCCTGAAGTTCGTGAGTCTTTCATCCCAGCCCAGACCCGCCCCCCACCGGATGTTCTCCGCCGCTCTCCCCAGCGAAGAAGTTTCTACTCTCTCCCCCAAAATTCTTCGAGCCTGACGGGCTCCCGTGCCCTATTGCTCTGCCTCCCCCCCTCCCCCCGCACACACTCCGGCACAATCGTCGAACACACACTCCGTTTCTGCCATCTCCCGTTCGAACAGGCAAGGAGGGAGCAGGGGCTGGAGCCCTTCCTCGCGCAGGACGACGTCTTTCACGGCGCGCGCGTCCTGGTCAACACGGCCTTCGGCTTCGAGTACCCGTACGGCGTCAACCCCCTCGTGGAGATGACGGGGCCCCTCCTCCCGCCCAGGGTCGCCCGCGCCCTGTCGGCGAAGCGAGAGCTCGTCGCTGCCGTCGGTTCCGGGAACGCGACGGCTGCAGCTACGGCGGCGGCGGCGGCGGCGGGCGACGGCGACTACTCGCCGCCGTCGGGGGGGGGGAGCGGCGGTGAGGACGACGATCCGCTAGCCCTGCCGTTCCTCGTCCGGACCTGGTTGGGCGGAACGGGCGCGCTGGTGGCCCCCGGCACGGCGGCGTTCGAAGCGGCCGCGAAGCAAACGCATCGCGCCGAAGCGGCGGCGGCGGCGGCGGCGGCGGGAGCGGCGGCGGCCGACTGCAGCGACTCCTAGCGAAGGAAGAGGCCGCCGCCCCCGCCGCTACTGCTGCTGGCTCCGGTTCCGCGCTTGCCACTGCCTCCGCAATAGCGGCCGGCGAGGGCCCGATGCTTCCCGACGACAACGGGGTGATCTACGTGAACCTCGGGCGCATGCCGCAGCTGGACAAGTGGCAGCTGGTGACCATCCTGCAGGCGCTGTCGTCCCCGTCGGAGGCGATGTGCTGGGGCGGCGGCGGGGCGGAGGACAGGCTCGGGCGCTACCGCATCCTTTGGGTCTTGCCGAAGGACCAGCGGGAGCAGCTGCTGTCGGCGCTGCTGCCGATGCCGCCGCCGCCTTCCTTCCGCCTTAAGGTCTTGGGGGGGCTGCCGCACCTCGGGGTGAGCGCGATGGGGGACCGCTTTGACACTTTATGAGATGCACCAGCTGGTGCATCAAATGCAGTGTAATGTAGTCCGTGTAATGTAGTCATACATAGCATCAAGATAAAAGCCGGTTTCTCCCCCCCACTCACTATATGAAGGCTTCCATACTCTCCTTCGGCTGTGGTATTATTGTGTCGAAGGCGTAGTGTTTTCTGTGATGGTATATTTTCTACACAACAAAGTACCGGCTGTTTCCTTCGGTGTTTTGTCACTCTGTTATCTGCGTCAGTTTTCGTTATTTTTCTTCGAAGTCGAGGCCTGAGTCATGCGGCCTAGGCCCGTACTGCTGTCGAGCGCAAAGAAATGTCCAAAAAATGGCATGGTTGGAAGCCCTTCTTGGTAACCCTCATGTGGATTTACCTTCGGTGGAATAGAGTGGAAACACACGGCGCCAGACAACAGGCGGGCCGGCCGAGCGTCCCCAACCCTTCTTCCACCCATCCGTCAAGGACTCGGCGAAACGATGCCGCTTGCCGTACACTATCTTGAATTATTCAAACTGCCCCCCCCGGTGTTTGCCATCGGGGTTGGGTTTTCGTCGCTTGGCAACGACGTTGTAAAACAAGCCAATCCACTTCGTGAGCTCGGCAACCACTTCACCGCTGTTTTTTTTACCTTGTTTTTTTTTCTTGGCGGTAACCATAATGGTGGTCGAGTAGATCATGTTGTGCGGGGTGGAGAACCCTCACTCCGCGCAAGGCGGATGATCGCACCACGTTGTGTTCAAATGGTCAAGCATCCTCGAGGCAGTTACACAGTGCTTGCAACTGTCTCTGGAAGTGAAAGCACCAGAAAATAAATTAAGTCATACGTAGCTGTCATCCGTACGCAAGGAAGTAGGCACAAGATGCCGAACACCCTTAGCAGGATGCAGCTCACCCTTCATGCGACTCGCCGAATACCTCACGGCGCTTCGCGCTTGGTGATGTGAGAGCCTGGTCCGGTGAGAACCCGGCGTGCTCCGTCCCGGCTTTGTAGGGATGCGAGGTCAATGGTCTAACGACTACGGCATGCACGACTATGAGTACCCTGCCCCCCCCCCTCCCCCGCAAACCCCTTCCGTGATTCTTGCCACCGTTTTCCTCCATCGCTGGAATCTCTCGGCTGCTCGATGATAGGTTTCTGTGCCGACTCCTTTCCTCTTTCTCTCTCTCTCACGCCCCCCCCCCCTCCCGTCTTTCTCTTCTGGCTGCACCGGGGGCCGGGCCATCGTGCTTCAGATCCTGGCCCACCCGGCCGTCAAGGCCGTGGTTTCGCACTGTGGCATGGGCGCCGCCCAGGAGGCGTTGCTTTTCGGCAAGCCGGTCCTCTGCCTGCCGATGCTCGCCGACCAGGAGGTATGCATTACGCCGACGAACCCAATGCTTTTTGTGCTACTCCCGGGGGGGGGAGCAGGAGAAGGGTACCTTGGCGGGGGCGGCGGAAGTGCGACAGATGCGGCGCCACGGCTTCAGGAGCCTAAGCTGCGCCTTTCTCGCCGTTTGTTTGTTCCTGACGCGTGTGGGCTTGAGTTGCTAGTGCTGCCGGGTTGTCACTCTCCCCCCGACTACCGCACAGCCGTGGGGCTGTTCCATACCATGAGCTGTGTATTTTTCTGCCATAGGCGTGCCATGGTACCCCAAGATTACCCCTTGCCGTACTCTGGCCGACATTCACGCATGTCCCCCCCGGCGCGTCGCGGGCCTTCTTCGCTGTTATTTTCTGGGGGAGCAGGACGTCGCTAGGAGGGTTATCGATGCCGGCGCCGGGCTCGGGCTGTCCGGCCTCCCCACCGGGAACATCAGCTCCGGAGACATCCGGGAGGCGGCCGCGGACATCGTCTCAGACCCCTCCTATGGCGGAAGTGCCGCTGTACTGTCTGGCGTGTTGAGGTGAGAGGGAGAAGATAAGGTGGTTAGTGGTTGGTGGTTGGATCATCCGCGGTTACAACGAACGGTCACTTGCAGTGGAGGTGTCGCATCGAGCTTGGGGGGGGGGGGGGGGGTCAATCAAGGGTTTTTCATTGACCCTTGGTTGGAGAGGTTGGTTAAGGGTCAACGGAACTGGCTACGTACCTTTAACCGCCCACCGCGGCATGGACGTATAGCTGGACTGCATGGATACGTTTTCCGCGGACTTTTAAAAGTTAGTCGTGTAGCTTCATGCGAGACTGGCAGCAAACATAGCTCAGCTGGCTGGACTAACCATCTACGCGACTTTGCGGGTGGGGGTTGGGTCCTCACGCACGCCGCTGTGTTCTCGTTGGCGGCACGGAATGACAGGCGAGCCGGCGGCACTCTGCGAGCGGCGGATGTTGTCGAGGGGACTCTACAGCTAGGCGGGAGTTCCTACTTGCATCCCCCAGAGCTCCGAGGACCGTGGCACGAGGTAATATGTAGTTCTTCGATTTGCGTTGTTGTTGTTGTTGTTGTTGTTGTTTCTGGCGCAGATTGGTGATCCTTGCGGTAATCTTTGTCTCATTTTGCATTGTTTGTTTTCTTTTTCTTAGCAGTTGATCCGTGCGGTACGTAGTAGCATTTGTCTCGTTTTCGCCGACTGACATTCGGCGGGTTGGACAAGATATTACCCCGGCTAGGCCGATTTTCAAAGCTCGGTGTAGTCTGCTGATTTATTCTGCCGCGAGACCAGTGATGGTGCCGAAAATGACAGCAAAGGGGCTCGATTTGAATCCACTCGTCTATAAGCCTGCGGTGTCGGACGGACTCCACCCAATGTAGACCCCACCCCGTCTGCGGAATCAGTATTTCACGGTCTGCGGGGACCCGCCACACATCTCACATCTAATACGTTTCTACATGCGAAGGGCCAACGCGATTGTACGAGCAAGTACGGCCATGCATACATGATGCTCGGGATTGACCAATCCCTCCCGTTTGCTCCCACCTTCCACAAACCGAACGCCAGGCCTCTGGCACCGATGCGTACGTGTTCCTCTTGGCCGGCCTGGTCCTGATGGCAGTCCTTGGGTACGCCTTGTTTGCGGCGCTCTGCTACGGCGCGCTTCTCTTGCTGCGCTTCTCGGCGAGGATGGCGGTGCGCTGCGTCCGCATGCTGTTCGGCCTCCCGCGGCGATTCCCTCGTGTCGGCAGCGGCGGCGGCACCGTGGCGGGGGGGCGGCAGATGGGATGGTGGTGCGAGTGGTGGCGGCGGGGCAACCCGAGGGGTTCGACCCCGAACGGCGGCAAGAAGAACAGCGACAACGGCGTGCTGCTGTCGCCGGAGAAGGCGGCGGCGGCGATGGCGGCTGCCGCCGAGGCGGAGGCCGCGGTGGCGAAGATGATGGCGGCGGCAGCGGCAGCCGGCGGCGGCGGCGACGGCAGCGGCGGCGGCGGCGACGGCAGCGGCGGCGGCGGCGGCGGCCTTTGGGACGAAGCGCTCATGACGCTCTTGGGAGGTCCGGGACCACCGGACCCGTTCCCGGAGGACTCGTTGCCGGAGCTCGACGGGCCGGCGGTGGTCAGGCAGCACGCGCCGGGGGCGGGTGGTCGCAACGGTGGCAACGGCAGGGGCGACCGTGCCGTCGCCAGCGGCGGCGCCGGGGGCGGGAACGGCCACCTCAGGTCGCTCTCCGGGGAGCTCGTCATGTGGCCGACGGCCCCGAACGACGGCCGGACGTTTGATTTCCGCGGGTGGAGCACCGGTGCCGCCAACGGCGGGAGCTACGGCAACGGCAACGGCAACGGCAACGACGTGGCGCCGCACCACCTGAAGCGGTGGGATTGATCGGGGGGTGAAAGAAGGCGGTGGAAGCATCATAATACGCAGGGAGGCTTAGGGCAGGCGCCGGCGGGCGGTTGCTCTTTTAGAGGAGATTCCGCTCGTTTTTTCGCCGGCCGAACGAATTGTAGATTGGGGCGAGTGGCAGATCGACCGTCAAACTGCCGGGTCTTTTTTACCAACGCGGCAGCTGCAGGAAAGACAAAGAGGGGTTCGTACGGTATGCTGCCGGAAGGGATAGGATAGTTGGTGATGTAGGCGCATGCAAGCTTTTGTGTCCTCGGAAGACCTCACCACGCAAGTCGGCGACGGCTTTCTTTGCTTACAATACCCGGAGTGTCCCGGTTCGATTCTTTCCGCCTTCTCGTGCACGAGCCGCCCGATGTTCGTCCACCAAGAGAGGCCACTATAGACGCGTACACATAGGCCTCCGTGATACCTTTCCTGCACCTTGCTTTTGTCCTTGGTGCAGAAGCTTGTGTTTGGTCGTGCCGAAATATTGTGGAAGGATCGAACAAACTCCAGCAGTATAGAGCAGGAACGAGGGTCTTAAATAGCTGAATTCGAAATATCACAGCGCGTTGTGTATGCGCACGAGGAAGAACTCTTTTCTTTTTTCGTCAGAACTAGAGGTCGATCTCAATTTTGAACAACAATTTATCGTCTTGTCTCGGTATTTGAGAGGGTCGCAATCAAACAATCCCGACACAATTTTTGCGTGCAACGAGAATGCAGAACGAACGAGGGCAATCTGTACCACACCGACCGCAGGTGTGTACGTGTATGTCACGCGGAGAGCGTACCCACGCCGTCTCGAGTTTAGTTGGCGTCATGCATGTATTCCCGAGCTCAACGTCTTGCGTCCATCCGGGGTCCCTTCCCGCTTCCGCTCTCAAGCCTAAAAGCAACACGCACAGAAAGCAAAAGCAGGCTTAGGGCTCGCAACGTTGGCTTGCTTTACAATACCACACTTCACGGCATCTGCGACAACTACGACTACGCCACATCTACGACATCTACTATGAAGACCCCCGGTCGCGGGGAGGTGACCGGCTGAGATCCTTCTGCTTCTGCTTCTTGGCCGCCGCCGCCTCTTGGGCGGCCTCGAGCGCTTCCTTGCCCTTCTCCCCGGCCTGTGCGTCCATCCTCTCCACCTTCGCGCGCGCGTGTGTACAAGAGCAAACGCGCCAAGATTTCGATTGATTCAAGAATGAAGTACATGCCCGCACAGGCCAATGTGTTGTGTGTGTGAGCGCTAACTCAAATGAGCTGGAAAAAAAAAATAACGCAGTTTAACGCAAGGTCCGCACGCATGAGCTGGAGGGCAATGCGTGCGGTTGACATTGTTTCAACCCCGTGAAAAAGTCTTGAGTAGTAACAGCTGGTGGCAAGGTTGTGAGAAGGAGAACTCAACATTTTTTGGTAGCCCGCCGCTGCCTCAACGAACGCACCAACTAACGGAAGAAGTCAAGGATCACGTGGAATTCGAGTTTTTCAGAAAAAAGGAACCACTAGTCTATGAATTTACTCCGACATCGTGGACCCGTCGCGGGCCTCCACCCACCTCCTCCTGCCGCAGCCTCTCTTCTTCCAGACCCCGCGCGACTTCGGCAGCTTGGTTCGCTGCTGCTTGCTCGTCCCTCTCCACCTGTCTCCGGGCAAGTATCTGGTTCGATTCGATTTGACCAACACGCAAGCACGGGGACGAACGGTAGTATGTTTCACAGGGTAGTTAGTATGGGTATTTGACGAATAAATATTCTACCATCATCGAGTCCCTACGGGACATTCATCTATCCATGAAGATTTATTTCATGCTTCCGCTTGGCAATGTGGTCTACAATCAGCTGATGCCTTGCACATGATGGCCATAGCGACAGCCAGCGGTGTACCAAAGCCGAACTTTTCAGAGATGACGCATTCATTCTCGGTTGTTCTTTTTCATGCGTGGAGTGAACCGACCTGCGAACGTTTCATCTCGAGGTCGAGCTCCGCCTGCTTTTCCCGTTTCGCCTTCTCCCGGCCGGCCCACAGATCAGGGTAGTAGTAGTTCTCACGGTGGGCTGTTTGTTGTCGGCGACAGGTGCAACCGTTATTGAAGGGGCAATAAAGGAACAAAAAGACCACACCGAAGCCCTAATCACTTGGAATCAATGTAGAACTCATCGATCAAAGCGAGAGTGAATGCATCTATCGCCAACCTTCTGGCAACTCCTGTTAGATGATCCCAACTCAAAAGTGTTATTGAAGCATCAAATTCATCCGAAACAGCTCTCAAAACTGGATGGGAATTATTGCAGCAGTGAAAAGGGTTGGAAGAGAGACCCCCCGCTGAAACAAAGTCTGTCGTTACACTGCGGATTCGGTGCTGCCAGAGGGAGCAAGGCACGTGTCCGGGAACACTCTAGATGTTAATTTGGCGGCAAGCAACAAGTACAGGCGGTCACAAAGATGCACATCTCCAAGCAATAGTTTCTTCAGCAGCTATGGACGACGTGTCGTCTGATCGAACCGTCCGGTCAGCCAAGCGGTTCTCGTACACACCTACCTGACGTCTGCGGGTTGGCCTGGTCGTCGTCGTAGTTATACAACAGCCCGTACGTGGTGGATCCTAAAATGGTGTCCAGTGTGATAACCCGTGGTTTGTGCCTGTACGCAACCATTTCGAGCGAGAGTTGTGGGTGGGGTGGGGGTCGATTAATGGCGGCATCGTTCGATGTTGTGCATGCAAACGTTTTGGGACAATCACACTTGATGGCAGCTATCTAGGGATCGGTGACTCTCTTCTTTCACGCCGCATCTCCCACCCCAAAAACCTACCTCGTTCGACGACACCTCCTACGCCTACAATACTTAGCCGCGCCCTCGGTCACGCCAGTACGTTCAACACCGGCCCCAAACGCCATGACCGTTGACCCCCACTATGAATGGGGATACGTGCAACAGCTCTGGACGACGTCACCGCTTCCATCGGGTAGATAGGTTGCAGTGCTTCATGTTGAGGTGATGACGCAGCTCGACTTCGTTTTGGGGAATGCGAACCGGTGAACAAGTATCCATGCGTGTACGGTTAGAGAGAAATTATATATTTAGTGCACAGTTGGTATCCTCGAAACCTTCTAGAGGTCAGGTCAGGGGTTTGAATCCCGGCGTAAGCGAGGTTTTCTTGCAAAGTGAGTTTTTCTCTCGCTTCCGCTCCTGGCCTAGTGGATAGCGCTAGTTCGTGTGTACACAGAGGGAAGAGAGTGCTGAACTCTTCTCGCCTTCGAAATCGAAGGTAAAGTACCGCAGGAAGGGAAGGTAGAGAAGGGCTCTTCTGTGTGACCACGGGTTGGAGCAAACGGCACTCATGCTGTGAGCGCTGATTTGAAAACAAAAACAGTCATTGCCCGTTTCACACCTGAGCAGCCGAAACCTCTCGTTGTCCAGCCTCACCAGCTTCTCCGTCCCATTGTCGAGCCTTAGCCGGTACCGGCCCTCTCGGTGCGTGGGGCCGACAATTAACGCCGCGCCGTCGGCATCCCTTACAAACTCGTCCGAGAGCAGTTGGAGCCTACAGCCGGGCATAAGCTCTTGTCGTCGTCCCGCGTGGTTTCACAATATTTGGGGGCGAGGTGTCAGGGAACCGTGAATTGGGCGGGTAGACGGGAGGGTTTGTGTGATGTGGGGAGGATGGGGTGGCGTCTTAACCCACATGTTTCGGTTTTTCGGGGGAATCACATGAGCGTCGGGTACTCGAAACCCGAGCTTCGCTGTGTCCACGACTGACTGCGGCCGTAGCACGTCAATCGTTGTGGCGATGTTTCCGTGAATGTTACAGCCAGTGGATCAATGTCACAGCCAGTAGATCATACCGGATTCGATTTACTGCTGAGGATCGAAGATGACAAAAAAACAATACACCAGAACAAGTCAGATTTTGGGCTGGCCGCGTCTGCCGAAAAGGAAAGCATGGGAATGGTGCTCGGTAAATTGGCTATACGAATAGGCCGGCATCGAGGTAAAATAGCCGCTGCCCGTTCACGAGAACGTCTACCGTAATTCACCGTCGAGGAAGCAGACTCTACGATCTCGCCAGTAGATGGCCTTTCGCTTGTTGTTGTCCTCCTCAGAAATGATGGTTCCCATGCCTTGCACCATGTCCTAACATGAAAGCGCCACAAAGAGGAGATGAGAAAATGTATATTTTTTAGTAGGACAGACTACTCCTGTATAACAGCCGAAGCTATGTACTCTTCTGTCTGCGCAATGATACGGTGTTCGGCAAACGCCAAGTGAATAACATCAGGGCTCGTTGCGGCTATGTTCGCGCACCTCACGCTGGACTTACCGTCATCACCCCCACGTAGTCGATCAAAGAGAAGCAAGAGATAACGTCGACGAGACCAGGTGACCTCGCGGTTGTACTATTGTAGATCGTTGCTGGTCTCTTGGATTGTGTGCGAAATTACAGCTCGTAGTAGACGGTGACAGATGGGTGGGTATGGTGGTTCGATAGCTTGGTCCTGCCTCGGGCGAATGGAAGCTCGGTGAGAGTGAGAGAGAGACCCTCACTGGCAGCAGAAGAAATATGTTCGTTGGTGAGGCCCAAAAAACACAACGCCGAAACTCAAGCTACGGCATCAGCGCCCAAGGCATACTTGTTTTGCTTTCTTCGCCCCTCACCTTCCAGAACTGGCCCGCCCAGATATTCCCGTTGTCCATGAGCAAGCGGCCTTCGCCGTGCATGGCGCCGTCGAAGAACTGTCCCTCGTAGATGATCTCGCCATGAGCGCGATATTCTCCTGAAAGACGACAACATCGTTCAAAGAGTGCCTTCACCACGAGCTGCCCCGGCCGTTATTTAGTGGGGCCGTCGAGGCTCCCAAGACTTGTCGAGTGATGAAGTCCTCGGCTGCCCCTCGAAAAAGGGCAGCGGACATACGTCACATGTTGTTCAGCTAGAACACACACACACGAACGTCGTCACATATAGACGGTTTGATTTGCTGAAGCACTACTGATGATGATGACCTACCGTGGCCGTGCGGTACCCAGGCTTCTCCCCGGCGCTTCGATTCCCCGAAGTAAAGAATGCCAGTCTCCTTGCGCTTTCCCGTGATATCACGCTTCCAGAAACGCATGGTGTTCTCTTCGATATGCCTGTCTTGGAAACGACAGCAGTAACATCCACTTACATGAGTGAAATATTGTGAATCGGATAGAACACGTGTGCCGTGAATGTCATTCACTGGCTTGTTCCATTGGGTGTCAAGTTTCGTAAAATCCCCATCATCCGTTGTTCCGCCATGAGCTATATATTCAGCTTCAAGATGACTCGCGGAAGGCTTCGCCAACGAGTGACTACTTGCTGATACGTTCTCCATTTGTCTCGGTGGGCAGAGTATCGGTTACCTTATAAGTTCCTTTTCTTTCTTCTCCTGCTCGATGCGTTTTTCAATGGCGGCCTGCTCCAACAAGACGAAAATCATAGGTAAAGCAGAGGAGAGGTACGCCAGCCGTTGCCGTTGGGTAAGTTGGGCAGCCCACTAGTCGCGTCGTGGCATTCTCAAGAGAGAGGGAGCAGGAGAACGCAACGAAAACAATTAGACCATGTCCACGTCCTCCAGGGCTAGCACAACCAGAATTAACGGTATGTAGGAATTCAACGGGAACATGCCTGTGTCCCTTGTTTCTTTAGTTCTTGTTTCGTCCCATCAACTCTGGGTGACAGGCTATACACACTCGCGGTAAGAGTCTCTAAGAACAGTATGAGTTTCACTGGCTTCTAAAGCGCCCGGCTTCAATGACATACTGACGCATGGAAAATGCCACCCTTCGCCTAAAGGTGCACACATGATGGACCCGAGTTGAGTGCGTGTCGACATTGTATTCACTCTGTTTTTTCAATACGCTCTACCGCGGCACTGAGCACTTGAGCACACGGTAGGATAGAATCAATGCATCAGCGACAGAAATTTAACTGCGATGAAAAAGCCCTGTCTGTTGTGTCACACATGCTGCGAAAGCGAGTATCCAGAGACGACACATCCAGCGAGCGAGTGAATATGGCTATTGGATTTTAATGGGTAGGTGCTGCGTTGTTGCGAACTTTGAACTCACTTGACGCTTGCGCTCGAGTTCGCGCAATCTCGCAGCTTCTTTCCTGCGCGCATCCTCTTCCAGCTTCTTCAAGCTTATCTGTAGACGAGCATTCAGCATGCAGCAGAGAGAAGTAGTGGTGGAAGCGCCGAGAGGTAATCCCACGCGCTCACTTTTCGCGCAATTGGTTGAACATTGGGCATTCAAACAAATTCAGGGATCGGAGACACAAATATTTCTTTATCCAATAGAAAACATGCATGCAATCAGAGACCCCTGTTCGCGATGCTGCAGTACCATAAAGGCAAACGAAGGGGATACATTGAAGGTCTTTTATAGTGAGTCGGGGAGAACAACTGCTGGATACGGGGCTAGGTAGCCTGTACGCCGATTTATCAGTGAATGCCAGGTGTTGATCTGGGTGGTACGTGGAGGGAGGACAGTCGGATGCTCTCGTGAGTTCAGGTCTTCCTGATGTTTCTCAGCACCCTTGTAACTCGAGGAAGTACTGGGGGCAATAGACGCGGCAAAATGTCAACACACGGACACTTTTTGCAGCTGGGAAATAGTTTGCCCGGTGGGGTCGGGACATTTTTGCCGAGATGGACCGAGAGGTACACCGCCAGTGTTTGCACTTCTGAATTCCAGACAACAACCAAACAGCAGCAGGTGCATCATTTTTGGTCAACAAGGTCTTGATGTTCGTTTGTAATTTCCTCGAGTAGATGATGCTATCCGGTTGTGAATGAACTGTGAGTTAATTGAACATCGTTGAGCAGAACAAACACACAACCCACCTCTTTGAGCTTCTCGATTGTGATTTGCTTCTCGGCTAGGAAGCGCTTCGCGCGCTCGGCTTCTGTGAGCTCCTCCTCGGGCTCGTTATCCGCTTGCTCGAGGAGCTCATTGTACAGTTTGTCCAAGGCCGAGTTCATGGTCTAGGCAAGCAGGTGGTGGGCAGCAAAGGGTTGCTGGAAACAACACGCCCGGGGCTGGGGCTCCTCTGCGGCACAGAGTGCAGAGTTGCACCGCGTCGAAGGGGATCCGCAACTGCGATTGGTCTTTGTGACGGTTCGTCACGGGACTGTCAAAAATAGTTCTCTGGATTTAATGTATGCACGTATGCATATGAGCAGCTGAGAGTAGAGCGCCCGGGAGGGCTGGGACACTGGGACTACAGTAGATAGCTGATACACTGGTGTCAAAATTCGAGCCAAATGACTTCCGTCAACCACCACGAAGGAAGGAACGTCAGCCGGGGCCTGTGCGATGGCATCGCGAGGCTGGCCGCGAAACGGCTGGCTTTCGACACGAAAATGCGTCAACGAGGTCCCACGGCGAATGCATGCATGTCCGTCGAAGGAAGGGTAACTTATTTGAAGCTCCGAGGCGACCAGCTACTTCACCTGGCAGAAATAGCCCGGCACAACGGCGAGGTGTCAATGCCCGAGTGCGAGGGACTAGCGGCAGATGCGCTGGAGTCCTACGTCGCTGCCCAGGACGAAGCGTCTTCAAACGCGATTGACTCGTCCGATGTTGTCAACAGCAGGACAAACACCGACAACGGTCGCAGCCACCACAGCAGCAGCGGGAGCAGCAGTGCTCTTCCAGAGCTCCACCCTTTGCGAATAGAGCTGGCCCTGAGAATATCTTCCGTCCTCTTACACCTGCTCGATCGGCCGATCGAGGCATGGGGAGCAGCATACCCGACCTACGTCGCGGCGGCAGAACGCCCGACTCACCTCGGCCCTCGAGGACTTGCCGTCACGCAGGTGCTTCGAGACCACTTGGCATGCATCGGCGTCCGGGGCGGGGGCAGCGGGTATCAACAAGAAGGAAGCAGGGCATGCAAGAACAGCAAAGGAGAAGAGCCTACCCACGTGCAAGATCTAAATGGAGGGTTCACCGGCGGAGACGAGTGGGGTTTCCTTCGAATGGCCCCCGGGTTTGATGAAGGCTCAGGAGCGGTGGTCGGGATCGGGTCCACGGCGAGTGACAAGTTGCGGGCTCTGGCGCAAATGAAGCAGGCTCGATCGTGCCTAGATGGCATGACGGCAGCGAAGCGAGTGCTCCTGGGCACCATGGAGCATGCGAATGACGTGAAGTCAGCACTCAAGCAGGCAAGAGTAGGACCTACCTGGGGACGATTAGTTGCTCGTCTTGCTGGGCAGGCCTTTCGTCTGTTCTTTGGCCCCTTTGGTATCTGGATGTGGGCATATGTGCCCTGCAACAGGGAGAAAAACACTAGCTGCGACCCCGTGAAGTGGAGTATCGACCAAAGAGGGTCTCAGGTGTTTGTATTTGAACCCTCTGGGTCTCATTGTGTATCGCGTGCCATAATTATGAAAGAATGCCGGATCTTGAACGACTTCTTTGGACTTGCCTACCGTAATAATCCTGGCTGAGCGGTAGCAAAACCAGAGACCCACACCGCATACCGGTCTTCTATGCAAAAGCGATGCACCTTGCACCGACACTTGATGTTCATGTGCAGATACTGTTCTTCAGCGACTTCTTTGGCGCTTGCCTACGGTGATTATCCCGGCTGAGCGGTAGCAAAACCAGACACCCACACCGCATACCGATCTTCTATGTAAAAGCGATGCACCTTGCACTGACACTTGATGCTCGTGTGCAGATATTCGACGTGTACTGCCGAAAACACGCCCAGCCGGCCACGAAATGCTCGGACGATGGCCACGGTACCACCGGTGAGCACGTGTGGCTGCAAGGACGGAAAGTGACGCCGCGTGCTTATCTTCGGCCGGGGCCGTTCCTCTCGTGGCCGGGTTTCGAGTCCGTGTGCCACGACTTCAGCATCACTACCGCCGCAACCGTCTCTCCAGCGGCTGACCGCCCCCACCCTCCTGCTCAATACAATCACCACGACCGCAGCATCACTGAGCACCACGCTCAATTTAGGAGTACCTCGCCAGACCACCATCGACATCGATCGCCAAGAACAAATCCTGCAGCTCCTGCTGCTACGGTGATGCCACGGCCAAGCGCTCCCCCTCCAAGGATGCTGTTAGGGGACACCGCTACTGCTGTTGGCGGTCTGTTGAGCCGGTTGCAGGCCCGGATTGCGTTCGTGAGCGCTTGCACGCACGAGTCAGTGGTCGCCTCGTTTCCTGACCCTGATGGTACAAGCGGAAGCAATAACGTTGTTGTAAATGGCGCCGGTGGCGGCGGCGGTGGGCGGGGATGCAGAACTGGGGGCGCTGGAATCGCGGGCACGGAACCAGGTCGTGTAGAGGAAGGCGACGGGATACCCTCCACCGACGGAGACACAGCATATTGGCGTGTGAGTTTTGTGGTGTCCGAGGCCTATCAGAACGTTTGGTGTTTACACCACCGTATGTGGAGCCGATCGAGTCGTCAACATTGATATACTGCATCCGCCTTTCTTGGCCCTGTCAGAAGGGGCGAAGGAGTAGAACTGCTCATTCGTTTGAAAGCAATCGCTTGTGTTCCACGAGCACAGTTAGGTATTCAACGCCGCTTGATTGTTGTTCCTGAGTCGCCCTGCATACGCACCACAACCGCAAACGGCAACCGGCCATGTTCCATCCACGGCCTGACGAGTGCAAACACGGGGGAGGTGGTGTCGTCAAAGTTTCACTCGAACAAGTTCGAATACAAAAAATAAAATAGCAGTATTTCATCGGTGACGCATTTTTCTTGCAGAGGATGAATGAAACTCCGAGAAGTGTTGCACAGAAAACCTCTGTGTTATCTTGGCTGTTACCCACGACCTCGTGATGTCATCTCCATTTCATTGCTTCCCCGTCAGGCTGTTGAGCAGGTGATCCTTTCAGGCGCTGCCCCAGACGATAAGGAAGCCGCGCCGGGCCTAAACTTCCGCCAGTTCGTCGACGGGCTCGCGCGATGTGGCCTCATCGGGTTTTCCAAAAACGGCACCGGATTCAAGCAGTGCGTGTCCGCTGCTGAGCGCATGCAAGCGGTCTTCATGGCGCGGATGAGACTGCTCGACAGCGAACACGTAGAGGCAACGCTGCTGCAGCAGCAGCAGCAGCAGCAGCCAGCGGAGCACCTGACGGCCGGAGCAGCGGCAGCAGGAGTAGCGGGAAAACGCGAGATCACCGTCGCCGGCGGCAGCGGCCCCGGTGCGGGCGGAACTAGCAAGGAAGGCGAGCGTGTCCACGTCGCGGGCGTCGAGAGAGCGAGCAGAACGGTGGGCAGCAAGACAGGGCGTGGCAAGACCAACAGCCGGAGAGCACCGCCGAGGGAAGGCACAAGAAGGGTGACCGCGGCGGCGGCGGCGGCGGTGGCTGATCCAACGCCTGCCACGACCCTTGCGCCTGTGCTTTAGGTCATGCCTCGAAAAACGAAGAGCTAGAAGAAGCCGGGGTTGACGCAGATGTGGTGGATTGCGCTCAGGAAGCGTACGGCTGCGCGCCAATTGTTCCCTCAAAGGGCCAGCGGCGTGAAAACCGAAAAAAATACCATCTACTGTAGTTCCACCATGCGTCGCAGGCACGATTAACCAGTCTCTCGGAAACCGCCGTAAAGATACGGCCGGTCGCCCTGTATAAGACCGGTGGTACCCCGTCCCACAGATGGAATATTCTCATGCCATGAAAAGTGTCAGGTGCCCGATAATACGCCGGCATACTCTTAGCATGGCACTATGCGGCCATGCAAAGGGAACCACAACTGTCTTCATGACAGAGAGGATTTTGTAGGTTCCATTGGAGGAGTGAAGCGATAACGCCGTCCTGGAGGTTGGAAAAAACGTCTGTGATAAGACTTTGTTGCGCCTCCCTCATCCAGGGGGTGAAACACGCCTACTGCTGTAGTCCTTCCAATGACGCTCACGTCCATGCCTGCTGCCATAGGTAAGCACCACCATCTCACGCGGTGGGTGTCGCTGATCGAAGTCCCGAAAAGCAACTTTCTTCGTAGTCCGGACCACCTCGGCAATAACGACCGAGGTAAATTAGCGAAACTAAGAGAGGTGGTTGCTTGTGCTATATCATCCATCTGCAGGAAAGTTTCTGTCCACCATGCGCGTCCCGGCAAGCCAAAAGCCTGGCCGCACAGCAGAGGTTAGTAAGAAAAATCATAGGGTTCTTCATGTCGACATGCAACGAAAGCAGCAGCAGCAGCAGCAGCAGCAGAAGCGACGCCAAAGCCACAACAAGCCCAAGAGAAGAAAAAAAAAGGTCAAGACCCTTACAAAGGTTAAGAGCAGGAGCGTTCTCAAAAGACAAAACCGGGACGCCCGTCAATCGACACCTCGCGTGCTGCACGCAAGCAACGCGAGAGCGCGATGGAGACAAGCGAGCACCAAATCATCATACATTTGTCACTCCGCATCGCGAACCTTGAACAAAAAACAAAATCGACCTTCTTCTCAACCACCACACGTACGTGCTGTCGAAGTCCCCCAAGAAAATCTGGCGACGGAGGCCATCATTAACCGTGACCCCAACAAATCGTTTAACCTGCGCACCACGCACCCGTCGTCCCAAGCAATGCTGTGTCCCAAAAGCCACACCAGTCCAAGAGACTCACACTCATGCCCAAAGGGTGCACTTCTTTCTAGGCCGAGACCGACTACACAGGTCCCGTCGATAGCACCACCCAAAAGCCCGCATGCAGCAGCAGCAGCGCGGTGCTTTCACTCTGACGGTCGAGGGTTTGCTCACAAGTCTATGCGCTTGGGAGCACTCCCTCGTGTCTGTTGCCACGCGGAACGGGTACAGCACTGCTGCTGTTCCAAAAGAGGTATAAGCACAGGGCAGAGACACAAGCGAACGTACCCGCAGGGGGTGAGATAGATCGCGAATACTTTCCGCAACGACTGCCGCAGAAACGAAAACGGCGCGGGAAAAAACTAGGACTTTGGCAGGCATAACAGCGCAGCCGGGCAGGCACAACCACAGCCGCTCTGATTGCAAAGCGTTCAATGCCTGCGATAAGAGCCAGCTGGACAAACCTATCGAAAGCAGTAAAGTCCAGTCTCTCTCTTTACTACTGTGATAAAACTAGTGTATAATCGATAGAGGAGAATTTAAGAAACCTTGCACGCGCGACAGGTGTGTCAGACCGAAAACCAAACAAACTACCTGACAGAACGTTAAGCTGTAGACATGCCAGAACCCCCGTTTTCCAACGCCTCCCCACCGCGCCGAGCATCAGTTGTTTCGAATTTTCCGCTGCATTTGTTCACACCGGGCCAGGAGAACACTACTACTGTGATGCACAGCACATCCTCCCCCTCGCAAAAACAAAAAACATCCAATCCGCGGCCTCATGTCAGCCCCTTCCTCTACGCCGACTACAGAACATCGCTCAATAGTAGCGGGTCACACACACGCAACAAGAGCAAAGAACAGCAAGAAGAGAGATACAATAACTAGATTCAGCTGATAACGTACGTCAACCAACGTGGTGCATACGCTCGAACAACATCAACATCATCATCATCATCATCAACAACAGTAGTAACAACAAGCAGCGGTAGCAACGACATCAGCACCCCGCACCGGGCAGTCGTGCATGCATCCAAGAGACCTCCCCCTCAACTGCGGCCGCAAAAAGTGAGCAGAGACACAGGCGAGGACAAGTTTGTCGAAACCACTAACGTCAAGTTATCAGGCATTTATACTAACGAATCCAAACAAACAATAATGACCTAACGCATCCACTGGGGCGGCCGGCAACCGCCGCACTTTCAGCCTCCCCCTCTTGCATGCGGCCGATACGGAACGGTGTGAAAAAAGGCTCGGAACCGACGAAGAAAAAAAAAAAAAAAGCGCCAGCTGACTCTGTCCTCCTGCCCGAGCACACGCCACACGAAATAGGCAAGTCACGTCGCAAACACAAACACATACACACACACAGCAAGCCCCTCCAAGAAGCTTACGAGTACGTGCCGAAGGTAGACGCGGTGGGCGGGGACGCACTTGGCGCAGGGAAGTGCCAGACGTTTGGCCACCGCCGCCGCCGCCGCCGGTCCTCCCCCACGTTGACGCACCAAGAACAAAACAAGGAGAAAATTTCTACACAAGCGCTTCCGTAGATACAGCGGCTGCGTTGCCTGACGTCTCTCTTTCTTGGCTAGTGCCGGCACCACTGACCCTACGCCCCACAAAAGGAGGACGTGTGCCCTGCGGCGCCGGGGGGAGCCAGTCTTCCAGAAGATCATACATCGAAAAAAAAGGACCGCCGACAAGAAGTGGCATTCCTGGGAAGAGCAAAACCCAGCAGCGCTTCACGCATCACCGATGTGCGACCGTGGACGGGTAGGGTTCGCTCGCACAACCCGCCGAGCACCACCGCTTTCGCCTCTGCTGCGTCTCTAGTCCCCGGCCAACATAAGCCCATAACCGTATGTAGCACAGGAAAATACTACTGTTTCGCCTCCGAAAACAACCCACACGCACGCCAATCGGTACCTATTCCGCCGCGAACCGGCCGCACAGTCAGCTGCAGCTGCTAGTTTTGAGGGACGTGAAGTTCCAGAACCGGCACCTATTCCACCGCAAACCGGTCAACTGTTCGTAGTACTTAGGGACGTGCAGCTCCCGAACAGGCGTCTATTCCGCCGCAACACCGGTAAGCTGCTAGCAGCAGTGACGGTCGTGCAGCTCCCGAACCGGCACCTATTCCTCGCAAACCGGTTAGTACTGAGGGACGTGCAGGTCCCGAACCTTGACGCTCGCCTTCTCCTCCGCCTCGAGGTGGCCCCTGAAGTTTCGGAGGCGTTTCTGGAGCGACGACATGAGAGTCATCTATTCGGGGGGGCACCGCAGCAGTCGAAGAAACAAGCGGAAATCGGTCGGGTGCGTCACGTCAGGAGGAGTGGCCGAACCAAGTGCGGGGTCGAGTCGAGCCCAGCCGGAGTCAGTCCAGGGGTTGAGCAGGACACCGCCGGGGCAATAATGGGTTTCGGTGACGCGAGACGGCGAAGAAAAAATGCACAAAATGCCAAAACAGGCAGGCCGGGAGGCGCGAAGAACGGCCTTGGACGGACAGAGATGAAACGGCAACAGCCGTGGTGGGCGTAGGAGAAATCTCGGGATTTCATGCGAATGAGGAACCCGAGACTGTGAACATCATTCGAAAGTGGTATGTTGTACTGCTGTACACTGCAGCAGGGGTCACCACATGGGCCCAAAAAAACGCAGGTCTCGTCTTCCTCCACTCACTGCAAAGACTTGCACACATCCCTTCGACTACTGCTGTGGTTATTTCTAGAACGGGTAGAGTCTCTTTGATTGCATGTACGCATACTCCTAAAAAAGAGGGGAACCTCTACGTGGAGTCTATGTATGCATGTAAGAAAGGGACAAACCTTTCGGTCGAGGATCTCGCTGAGGCGGGTGGCGTAGGCGTCGATGTCGTAGTCGATCACGTCGTCCCCCTGTATCTGCTGCAGCAGCCGTCCTTCCTCCGTCAGCAGTTCCGCGTTCTCCTGGATGATGTTCATGTGCAGGTTCAACAGCGCCTCCTCTTCCTCGAACAGGGACTGGACAGTGTGGTGGAGTTCCACTACCTGTGAAAAACAAAATGCAGGGGGGGGGGGTCCCATGCCTTAGTTGTTGGACCATTGACCACGCGTCCTCGCGAGGACGGAGCGGGGGGGGGGGGGTGAATTTTGAAATGCGTTTCTTCTGCATTTTCAGGTTGAGAAGCGTCCACTCACGGGAAGCGACCCGGACCTTTGGTGGAGTTCGACAACCGGTGCTACCAAAGCAAACAAAGAAGATGAGGGAAAGAGAATCGGGCATATGTAGGGGATGGTCTCCGGGAAGAACCCCACGAAGGTTGCCCATAGTCTCAAAACATGAAAAAAAAAGAAAAGAACACCGCCCCTGACGGTAGAACCCTTCCAGTCGAAACTGGTTTTCACGTTTATTATCCCGCTGGCGTGTTTTCATTGGTCAGGCCGGTTACAGTACTGCAACCGATGCAAACATTACGCCACCGACCCCAAGCACAACGGAAGGACACGTACCCCTCCTTCCCCTTCCTCATCACACCCCTCATTATCCCACTGGAGTGTTCTCATTGGTCAGCCGGCTACAGTACCGCGGTCGATGCCAACACACACCACCGACCCCAAGCGCAACCGAAGTACACCTACCCCTCCTTCCCCTTCCTCGTCACACCCCTCCTCCGGGTGGTACTGCCGCAGGGACTCGTGCATGTAGTTGATGTCCGACGCGGCAGAAGCCGTGTCCGACCCCGCGCTCTCCATCCCGCCGCCTCCCCCGGCCATCTCGGGGGTCGGCGCCTCCGCCCTCCCCCCGCCGCCGCCGCCGCCTCCGACCCCTTTCCCCCTGAGACCTCGCAAGTTGCTCGTCTCCTGCGCGTACTCTGACGTCGGACGCTGCAGCAACGACGATCGTTTCCCTGGCGCGGTTCGAGAGAGAGGCAGGCAAGGGGATCATGATCGGGGGATGGGGGGGATGGAGGGGGGAGGGGGGTCTGGAACATCCACACTGCGTAGACTCCGCCTCTCTGCCACACCTTGGTGGGGTTCGAGGGAGAGAGGCGGGTGCGGGGGGTATATCATGATGGGGAGATGGGTGCACGCGCAGGGGGGGGTGTCTGGAATAACCACACTGCGTGGACCCTTGCTTATGCGATCACCATGGGGTTCATTTTTCGCGTATTGATTTTTTTATTGGGGAGCACGAGCGGGGAGGGGCCTGCGAACGACGTCATTAAAGGGAGTCGGCTTTCGCTCGCACAGCGACTGCCCCAGCTGCGACAGGTCATAGTCGCCAACTCTCTGAGCCAATTCCGTCCTCTTCGCCGGCTAGGGCCCGTCAAAACAATCGGGGCACTTGCTTACTCTTTCCCACTCGACGACTCCCACACCGGGGGAGGGGATACCGCTATCCTTCTGGGAGGGAGGGGCACACCCACCACGCTGCCTGGAACGAGTGGCCGCCCAAGGAGACTGTGCGGACAGCGACACGTTTTCACACTAAGAAGAATCAGTCGCGCCAGCGGGGTCCACTCTCGTCTCCCCTAACCATAACCCTAACCCTACGATTCAGCGGGACCCCCGCCAGGAGCGCCCTAACCTCGCCCCCTAGGCACCCTCCAGGCGGCGGGCAACGGCCCCCGGGCGCTGACAGCCCACTGGCTGTGAGGCCCAGCCACCGCCCCGCCGCCGCTGCTGCCGCAAGGACTACTGCTGTGGGTTTGCAAGACGCCGGCCGGACCTAAGCTGAGCCTGCCCACGGCTGAGGGCTCACGGAGGAGCCGGTCACCCCAGGGGCGACCACGATCGACAGGCGGAGAAAACACTTCCAGCCGTGCCTCCACGACGAAACAGCCGGGAGGGGGAGCATCTCAAAACGTCATCCAAACGGTTGTACGATAAAGAACCGATGTCTAGAATAGATGAGCAGGAACCACTACCATATTTTCTAGAGCACAGGCATTCGTTGCTGATGCTGAACAAAAGTATAGCAATCCTTTCTCTCATCTATTCTCGACATCGGCTTCATTCACGATGGATGGAACGACAGCCGGAAGGACAAGCGTCTCGAAGTTCCTCCAAGGGTCTCTCGAGCGTGATGGAAGCCGATGCCCAGAACAGATCAAAGGAAGCATACAGTAGTATATTCTTGAGTATTTTATGCCGAAAAAACAAGTATAGTTCGTTCGTTTTATCGTTTTATCGATGTCCTGGACATCAGCTTCATCCCGGTCGAGACACGTAGAGGAGCACTGAGACGCTCCTCCCTCCGGCCGCTTGTATGGTGGCGGCACGGCTGGAATCGTTCTCTCCACATGGCGACCGTGGCCGCCCCTGGCGGGAGGCTCCTCCGAGAGTGGTCAGCCGCGGGAAGGCTCAGCTTAGGCCCCACCTCGTGCACACCCACAGCAGTCCTCGCGGCGACGGCAGCCGCGGAGTGGCTGGGCCTCAAAAGTCAGGGGGGTTTCAGCGGAAGGGGGCCGGTTCCTGGAAGGCGTGGCGCCCAGGCGGACAGTTTGGGGCGCTTGTAGCGGTGGCGGCGGCGGCGGCAGCGGGGCGGGAGTCCCGCTGAATCGTGGGCGGGGGGAGGGCGCAAGGAGAGAATCCCCGCTGGCGCGGTGAATTCCTCGTCGTCTGACGCGTCGATGCCCGCACTGCTTTGGTGGTGGGAGATTGTTGCGAGTCCGCTGGCAGCGCATAACAACCACCCGACGGAGGACGCGTGGTACACTAGAGCCGCCGAGGGTTTTACATGGCGACACTTGCTGGCAAACACGCACCCATCGAAAGCTCACTCTTGCCTCACCAGACGGCTGCAAAGACGGGTAGGCTTTCCTTGATTGTAAAAAACATACCGAATGTGACCACGGATTAGAGTTCCCACACGGCAGAAGTTCTGTGAGCGCTGATTCACAAGTCCTGAAAAAAAAACCACTAATATTATCACAAAAACAAATTATACACAAAAAGAGTGCGTATTTAGTCGCGTCGTGTAGGTACGCTCCCATTTTCCCGTAAGAATATTTTTAAAACCTTAGCCAGGTGGGTGTATGTCTCACTCACCATCCGATGCCGAAGATCCCCTCTGGTAGCGGCCCCCTCCGTACGAGGGGACTTTCTTCGCTGGGATGGCCAGCCCAGACCCAGAAGCCGAAGCAGAGGGACCCCCGCCGCCCGGCCCGACCTTAGCCTGAGCCGCCGCCCAGCGGGAGGATGAATCCGGGGCCATCTCTCCAGCACCAACGCCGGCTAGGGAGAGTCAAAATACATATTGGGAGTGAGAAACAAGAAACAGAGAGAGACACACACACAGAGAACGGGACAAAAAGTGGAGGAGGGGCGAAATCGGGAGAGAGAGAGAGAAGGCGAAAAGAGATGCAGAGAGAGAGACAGAGAGATAGAATGAGACGGAGAGAGACAGAGATACAGAGAGAGAGAGAGAGACAGAGAGAGAGAGACAGAGAGAGAGACAGACAGAGAGAGAGAGACAGAGAGAAAGATGGGGTTCTGGTTTTGATGTTGGACGGATCGTTTCCCTTTTCCAAGGGACGCAGCACAAACACCCTTTTCGTCTGCGGAGATGGCGGACAAGTCTTCTGCGAGAAAGCAAGGAAAGGGCCTAAACCCAACAATCATGTACAGACGCACCAAAAGCTGGAAAAAAAAAAACGCTACAACAGAGCACGGGGCGAAAACCAAAACACCACCTCCCGCTCCATCACCATCACTACTTCCACATAAACAACAACCCCCCCCCCTTCTACATGCAACACTTCTCACCTTTATGACTGGACGGCGACTTAAACTCGGATGGGTTGCGCTGCACACCCAACCCCCCCCCGCCGCAGCCGCCGCCCCCAGCGGAAGCCGCCTGTCGCCCCTCCAACGCCTTCGACTGCGAAGAATACCCCGCTGCCCCACCAGCGCTAGCGCTAGCGCTAGCGCTACCGCCGCCGGCGCAAGGCGTGGGTGAGACCGAGGAAGGCGGGGGTGGCGGGTGGTCGATGGGGGACGCGCGGCCGCCGCCCCCGCCCCCGGCCCCGGCGGGCCCGGCGTTCGCCACGGGCTTGAACTGCTCCACCTTGTTCTCCTTCACCCTGTCGTTTGTTGGGGTGGGACCAGGCGGGCGTGGGGGGGGGACGGGGGCGTTAACTCTTACCGTTGCTGCTGCTGCTGCTGCTGCTGATGCTGACGTCATGACCGGGGTCATGCCGCGACCCGTTCTTCCCTCTGCGGGCCACATCTCCCTCCCTCATTATAAAAAACACACCACGTGTTTTCTTCGTCAACACAGCACACAACAGCAGCTTTATACACGGAACGTACATGCGTACTTACGTAGCCACCAACGAATATCGATCAGCTTCTGTGGTCCGCGCATCATCGCAACGCGTACAGCAGTAGCGCTGGGTGACTGCTGGCTTGGCTCGGCGTCTTCGCACTGGGAGGAAAGCGCTCTCTTTCGCGTTATCGGCGGTGGGAGGACAAGACTTGACACCCGTGCATTGCACGCGCTACAATACCTGTCCGCGTAGCGCAGGGTGTTGATGGTGTGGTCGGCTGCGGAGGCCCCCGGCGACACAGTGGCGATCATGACGGTGCGGGCCGCCTTGCGGGTGAAGCTGTCCTTGAGGACCAGCGTCAGCTTGGAGGCTCGGTAGGGCACGTGCACGCTGTCGCTGTCGAGGGCGCGGATGCACTCCTGCCAGGCGTCGTCGGGTGGTTGTTGCACACGGAGAAGAGGGGACGCGGCGACCAGGTTACAAGGGCACCGGAAGGCTCCCAGTCCCAAGAGGGGAGCGTGGTCGAAGACCGAGCGACAACATAACAGCCTCTCCCGACGGGATAACCCCCCCCCCCCTCTCCCCCCGGCGGCGTACATCTAAACAGGGACTGCGCGGCCGATAGCCAAAAAACAACCTACAAGACGCGGCCAACACCGCCGCTCTTCCCCCCGAACTCCCTCCCTTTGCCTTATCCCACCACACTTCGTATCTTCAGCGCGAAACGAAAATCTCGGAACAACGCTCCCCCTCCCCCTCCCCGCTCCCCGAGTTTCGGGCTGATGAAAGCCCTAACGGAGTCGTAATGATGCGAGGTCAACAGTCTAACGACTACTGCATGCACGGCTATGAGTACACCCCCCCCGAAGCCCCCTCCACGTCCTATCGAAGGTCGGACTCCACGACGCAACACACGCGCCTTGAGGGCCAGCAGAGACTTGTTGATGTCCGCGCCCTCCATCCTCCGCTGGCGGTTGTGGCTCTTGGTGTCCGCCCCCCTCTCCGACCCGGCCAGGTCGATGAGGCTAAGCTTGCCGTACAAGCGGCCGTTCGAGACGTCTCGCACGCAGATCTGGCAGATGGCGTGAGATCTGCAACAAGGGAGTAGGACGAGTAGGACGAGTAGGACGAGTAGGACGAGTAGGACGAGGAGGAGGAGGAGGAGGAGGGGGAGGAGGAGGATAGGGTGGGTGCACGCAAGGGTGCGAGGAACAACAAGCATCAACCGGACCATCCTGCCCGCGCTACCACCCCAAACATACCGCCACCGAACGTTTAAACCTACCTGGAGCTCTGGTCGTTGCTTTCCGTGGCGTGCGTGGTGCGGTTGCGGTTGCCGTCGGCGATGAACTCCTCCAGCCCCTCCGCGTCCATGGCCTCCTTCTCCTGCAAACCCGCGATCACCACCTCGCCCTTCCCGTCCTCCCTCACCACGCATCGATGCCTGAATGGATCGGTTCAGCCGCGGGAGGATTGCAGCCCGCGTCAGAATCACAGCCGCGTCAGGCGCACAGCGGCCACACAAACGAAAAAGGTTCGGCGTTGTTGTATCGAGGAGCCTTTTTGAATCACGACGTCAGACAGGCCTCCGCCTGTCCTCGCTAGCCTGTCTCACCAAACCAGACCGGACGCAAACAACCGCTTCGACTACCTACCTTGACCATCCCAGACGAGCAAAAATGTCAACCCCAAGGCAGCAAGCATCCAAACAGCTACAAGGAATAAACCATAAAAGCTACGGCCGTCTCCGAGTAATAGACTAACACGGTGCCCCCGGTCCATCGCCGCCGCGATGTTTCGCGTACCGGTGGTTGAGCAGGTCCTGGCACCGCCCGCCGTATATCTCGAAGAAGCTGACGTGCACGCTCAGGGACCCTCCGCCCGGCATCTGCCCCAGCTGGTCGAACAGGTCACTCGTCGCGTTTTTCTGACGGGGAGGGGGCGTCGTGGGTTGAGATGGGGGGGAGGGGGGCGAACTCTTATCTTATGTTTTGCATGCCTTCGCGATTGGACGATTGACCACGCGTCCTCGAGAGGACGGAGCACTGTTCCCACAGGACCGATCACCGATGGCCAATCGGCCATTCCCACTTTGCCAAAGGTGGCTCAAATATGTCTTCCCTACATAGTCTATCTATCGATATCATTGCCTGCTTATTCAACCCACTTCCCATGCCCCAGAACAGCTACTGTCTTCTCCTGGCTACTCATGCTTCAAACATCTCCCTGTATGTTTCTTTTTGCTTTTCCCTGCTCAGTCATGTGCACTTCCCTCTACTTGTTGTACAACGGACATTCCGCAACTACATGAACACGTGGGGGGGGGGTTCCAGGGAGGGAGTTTATTGGATATATATAGAGAGATATA